AGGGCCGCCTCTGCAGAGCCCTTCCGAGGGCGGGGTGCTGTGTCTCCCCAGGACCCCGCGTCCGCCGGGTCCGCAGGCGCTTCCTCCCCATTGTCTCTCCTCCTCTCCGGGGTCTCGGCCTCTCTCCTCCTCTCCGGGGTCTCGGCCTCTCTCCTCCTCTCCGGGGTCCCGGCCTCTCTCCTCTCCGGGGTCTCGGCCTCTCTCCTCCTCTCCGGGGTCCCCGCCTCTCTCCTCTCCGGGGTCCCGGCCTCTCTCCTCTCCGGGGTCCCCGCGTCTCTCAGGGACGCTGCCTCCTGGAGACGCTTCCAGTCCGGGGCCGCCTGCTTGTTCCCAACTGCTGCGGCGTCGGGAGCCTGTTCCCTTTCCGAGGCCGCCCCTTCGGGCTCCAGCACTGTTGGCATCAAGGCCTGCTTTGCAGAAGCCTCATCTTCCTTCAGACCCACAGTGTCTCCTGCTGCCGCTCCCCCTGTGGGGTTCCGCCGCTGCGTACCCAGCCTTCTCGCCCCGGCCTGGGCCCGGCTGGCTGGGCCTGCAGGAACGCCGCTTTCCCCTGGAGGCTGTTCTGCTAGGGCTGGCGGCTCTGCGGTCGCCTTTCCGTCCCCCGTGGGAACCTCCGGCACTCCCCCTTCGCCCCGCAGCCCTGCGGCCCCCTTTTCCTCCAGCGCGGCGGCCCTGCGCCCCGGAGCTGCGCCTTCCTCCGCGGTTTCTCTGTTCCCCAGGGCAGACATCTCCTGGGCAACTTGTGGGGGCTCCTCGCTTGAGCTCCGTGCCGGCCTTTCCTCCACCACTGAATCTCTTTCGGTTGCTATAAAAACAAGGTCAGAAGACAAGGTTACTTTACTCCAAATGGACAAGGGAGAAGATGTTATAATCCGACACGTACATTGTATTCATAATATATTTATGTGCCGTATCAAGAAGCCATTGATGCTCATTTTCTCCACTGGTTCTGTGATGCCATCAGTATACATCACGATTTAATAATGGCTTTTTATTATGAAAAGAAATGATCTCAAAATTAATAAAGGAAAGTCGAACATCAGAAATGTTCAGAATAGCCGGGTGCAGTGGTTCATGCCTGTAATCCTAGCCTTCTGGGAGGCTAAGGCAGGTGGATTGCTTGAGCTCAGGAGTTGGAGACCAGCCTAAGAAAGAGCAAGAGCTTGTCTTTACTAAAAACAGCCGAGTGTTGCTGCAGGAGCTTGCAGTCCCAGCTACTTGGGAGGCTGAGGCA